ACATACTGTGATATTTCTGTTTATTATAATAAAATAGAGCCTAAATTTGTAACATATAGAAATCTTAATAGCATTGACATTCAAAGTTTTGAGACGCAGATTGCATCAATGCAGCTTAACGACATTTATTTCGTGAATGATGTGGATATTAAAGTCTCTATTTTTACTGGCCGTCTTATTTATCTATTCGATCCGCTACGTACAGTACGTGTCACAAACCTGCTGCGCCCCGGCTCACTCCTAACTTGAAAATGATTTTTCCACTCAGAGACGAGGCATCTGCTGTCTATCAGCATAACAGATCTGATCAGAATTGGGCCAGCTACAAAGATTTGAGAAATTAAGCCCTTGCATCGCTTAGAACAGAGAAAAAAACATATATGTCACGTTTCTGGAATCTTAACTCTAATGAAGCTTGGAAACACCTGAGGAGGATGAATGTGGTAGCCCAGAAACATGTTGCGATACCTCCCAGTCTCCTCGAGCCTAACATTTTAAATAATCATTTTCTTTCAAGTTTCCAGACAGCTGCAGCTGATCCAAATTTGATTGATAGTGTCTCTAACTCTTATAGTGATAGACGCCATACACCGGATGCAACCTCATTTTGCTTTTAAACTGCTTACTCAGCAAGACATCGTCAATATAATCTCTCACATTAAGTCTACGGCATGCGGCTGTGATGGTCTAACTTTAAAAATAGTTTGCTTATGTTTGCCTGATACCATAGACCATATCACTCACATTATTAATGTCTGTCTCGAAACAGGTTACTTTCCTGTCAGTTGGAAAAATGGTATTATTGTTCCAATAGCTAAAACTAATCATCCAGAACAATATTCGGATCTTCGGCCAATTACCTTATTATGCTTTCTATCAAAAATACTCGAAAGAGCTGTCTACTCACAACAACGAACAAAATCACTTATTTCCTCTACATCAGTCAGGTTTCAGAGCTGGTCCACAGCACTACTTCGTCTTTATTACATCTCACTGATTCCATCATTCACAATTTAGATAATCACATCAACACCGTCTTGGTACTGTTAGATTTCTCGAAAGCCTTTGATATGGTCAATCACCAGATACTATTGAGTAAGTTATCTCATTATGGAATGTCAGGTTCTTTGAGTCATACTTGCTAAATCGTCAAAAATCAGTGAAAACTGATCAGGGAATTTCTTCCTCTGAGCCAGTTCCTACGGGAGTTCCACAGGGCTCAGTATTAGGTCCCTTACTATATCTGATTTATACGATCGATCTGCAAGACTGTTTAGTCCACTGTAGTATGCAAACTTATGCAGATGATACTCAGTTAGTGTTTGGTTTCGATCCGTCAAAGGTTGATGAAGTTTCTTTTAAAGTTAATTTAGATTTGGCTAACATCAGTGATTACTGTAACAAACACTGCTTGAAGATCAATCCTAATAAAACTACTGCAATGTTCGAAGAACTCCTACCGTGATCCTGAATTTTAAAACATGAAAAAAAGCTCGCTGAAAGTCTTGTGTTGTCTGTCATTTCTTACTCTCTTGTTCTTTATTACCCATGTTTAGACCACAAAAGGAAACTCCAGAAAATCCAGAACAGCTGTTGTAGGTTTATTTTTGGATTGCACAAGTTTAATCGCGTCTCAGATAAAATCAAAGAACTCAACTGGTTGCGAATTGATAAGTTATTTTTATATGTTTTGACCGTCTCCACGCATGAAGTTCTATTATCTAACAGCAAAGCAAATTAGTTCACCGTGGTAGTTTTGTTACCAGAGCTCTTAGATTTAATGCTAACTTTAACATACCTCCTCACAATACCTCGGTCTTTGAAAGAAGTTACACCTATAATGCTGTCAAGCATTACAATGCAGTCAACAGTGGCTGTCGATCCAAACATGTTACTTCTTTTAAGAAATTAATGAAAAGTCAGCTGCTGGAGTCCATTTAGTTCAGTTTTTCTTGTGTTCATGTGCATTTTTTTTTTGTTTGACTGTTTTCTACTATTTGCAGTTAATAAAGGCATTATTATTATTATTATTATTATCAGGACAATCCGCTTCGAGCTATTTTAAACAAAAGTCCAATCACAATTGCAATACGCGATGTAACCACTGAAGTTTCCGAGGTCGCTAACACCGCCCCTCCCCTTCCCGTCGTTGAGGGGTGGGGGTGACATTTCGCGGAAATTAAATGAACCGTCGGCCTTTATGATTGTTCAAGGAGGAGGATAATTAGATTGTTCCCGGTAGCAGCCAAGCCGTTGAATATAAAGTAAAGTTTTAAAAGGCTGACAATTTTCGCATCAGCGATGATTGGTGCGATGGTGGCTATGTTTATTCGTATGCACCCTCGGAATTTTTTCGCGCTAGGCGCCACATTAATTTGCTGTAATTATAACGAAGCGACCGAGGAGCTGAAAGAAACTTAGTACAACTGGAAAAAGCTTCCTCAGTTAAATTGTTCGAAGTTCGACACGGTTAGGATGGGAGGCCAAAGTCAGAAGGATCTGTCTAGGTTATTTCCGTCCGTATTGCCATCTGTCATTCGATTAAAAAACTGCTTAGGCATTCTTTGATGCAATTTTGGGCCTGAAACCTTTATCCGGTCTTTTTTTATAAGATGATGCCAAAACTGAGTATGTTTTTACAAGCAGATGCGAAGATACTTCTTGGACCATATGATATTTCATCATCGCTACGACAGGGCCGAAGAATAGTACGTAAGAACAACTAGGCACCAGAGATGTAGGAAAAATGAAGCTTTACTAAGTTCATTTGAAGTTTAGGTCAAGTTTGTTGAGGTTAAGGTGAAATTAAGGTCAAAACTGGCTCAAATTTAGTTCAAGTTAAGGTCAAAGTTCGGTTCAGTCCTACGAAATGTTTGTTTATACAGAAAGAGAGTTACGTCTGGTAGAGCAGAATGGGCCACTCCACACAATCTGATAGTATAGTTTAGTTAAGTATTGAGTTGTTATCTAGAACAAGTTAGGGTTTAAATAAATTTCTTCATTAAAAAAAATCCGATATATATTTTGTGCCAGAACTTTTAGGGCACACGCTCTTGTCACTACTCGATTTCAGTACTTTCGCAAAATCTTTTTATTTAGATACATTTATTATTAAGTGACATATAAATCCGAACACCCAGTTTAAATGGTTTTGTTTTAATAAAATTTTGTATAAGTACTTAATGAAGCATAATAAGTAAATGATAAAAATTTCAAAATGATTGCACTGCTTTACAGCCCTTTGACCTTTAATAATGTGTGGATGCACCCTGATGTGCTACGCATTCTTCAACGCGCCTAGGCATGCTTCTGATCAGGTGGTCAATGTCCTCCTGTGGTATCTCATTCCAGGCAACCACCAACTCCTCTCGAAGTGCTTCTATAGTCTGAGGAGGACGTTGCAAATTGAGCAATCTCCTACCCATCATATCCCACACGTGCTCAATTGGGGATAAGTCGGGAGATCTTGGTGGCCATAGTAACAATGTGACATCATTATGTTGAAAGAAGTCTATTGTGACTCTTGCAACATGTGGTCGGGCATTATCTTGTTGGAAAGTTGGATCTGCCAGGGTGTCAAGATAGAGTAAAAGATGGGGTTCTAGAACTTCGTGGATATAACGCTGCGCGTTCATGTTACCTCTGATGAAGAATAAAGGTGACCTGGAACCATAAGCTATAGCACCCCAAACCATAACTCCAACGGTGTGATGAACACGTCTTTCAACAAAAAACTGTGGATTCCTCCTTTCACCACGTCGCCTTCTAACCCTGGCACGACCGTCGTGCATGCCTAAACAAAATCGAGACTCGACACTACAGACAATACTGTTCCATTCCTCATCCCAGAGTGACCGTTGTCTGCACCACTCAAGGCGATTACGTCGGTGTTCTCGAGTTAAAGGGAGGACCCAGTGTGGCCGGTATGAAAACAAGCCAAAACTTCATGCCAATAGGTCTTCCAACCATTCATTTGCAATGGACCTGGTAGTGGAGAAACGGTCCCTTAAGGCCAATAATCTTAGTCGGCGATCTTCACGATCGGTTGTTCTACGGCGGCGTCCAGTGCCCCTTGCTCTTTGCGTACGCCTTCTCGAAGCCATGCCTGACAACACCTAACGACAGTGTCTACACTTCTTTGCACTCTAACTGCAATTGCCCGAAAAGAAAGTCCAGCTTCCCGAAGTCCCACTATACGGCCCCTATCAAACTCACTAAGTTGACGAAATCGTACAGGTTTTCGTACTCTAGGCATCGTAACTGATCGTAAAGGATGTCAAGAACCAAAATCCGCCAACGTTGATTCTTTACTGCGGCTGAAATATTCATTTTTAGAGCGTTAGTGAATTAAAAAAAGCAATATAAAAACCATAATGTCCAACTGATAAGGCTGAATTTTTTTTCACTTGTTATGTACAGTAAGATAAATACATTCACCAACTTTTATTAAAATAAAACCATTTAAACTGGTTGTTCGGATTTATATGTCACTTAGTATATTTTTATTTCATTTCACACTAGATCTGTATTTCGGCGTTGGCTACAGCCCTTCTCGCTCAAAACTACCTCGAACACGTAGCAGTAGCGGTTAATCAAAGTGAATCGTCAAGATTGATCCTTAAACGGCGGCTTAAACGACGCGAACTACGAAGTGTAAACGAACACGTCACAGCTTGACGGTAAACAGAGGTGAGTGTTAATTTAACGGCGTTAAACACTCGGTTGGGTAATTTTGGTGGGGGCACGTCCGGAACCAGAAGAAACGGCGGTTGTCAGAGGGCGGAACTGGAGGATCAATCAAAATATTAGCAACGTAAACATGAGGAGAACTCTGTAGGAGGGGGTATCATATACAGGAAAGTTTGAGTAACATGTATTTAAGTGAAATAGTATATGGACAAACCAACGTTACACTGTTGGCATACCTTTTGTATCAATCTGTATCACTACTAATTGCAGCGTGTTGTTCTCTTCATCTTGACCTGACGACTATTTGTTACCCTACACGCCGTCCGTTCCGTCGCCAAATTAGCTTCAAGCGTAGTCGCTTCGTCTAGCCGCACCTTTAGCATCCCTATTATCGCTAATCGTAGCGTGTTGTTTCTTCTTGAGCATCTTTTGTCCTCATCCTGACCTGGCAACTACTTGTTACTCCATAAACCGCCCGATTTGCCGCTAAACGAGCTTCGAACTTGCTCGCTTTACTCTCTCTCTCTCTTTTCTCTGTGTTGCTGCTATCCGGATTTACGGGCTCTTATTGTTAAACCCGGAGTTGCCTTATTAAAGAAATCCACCGTCACCGGTTCGTTTACGAGCTATTTCAGTTGCTCAATAAGAATAGTTCGTTTTATTTATTTCGTTATGTTCGTTGATAAATCACAAAACAGTTTAGATCTTATACTATCGTTTCTTTCAATTTAAACAAATCTTTGTTTTTATAAAGCAAAATGTTTATGATTTTGTTTTGAACATTCTAGACCAGATCATCATTCGAAAATCACGTAAACTTTTTTTTCTATTTATCATTTATCAGTAATTTGAATTTCTCTTCACTGATAATAGAGAGCCCATTCCTAGGCCAAACCCTTTTCAATGATTTTTTTTTGGCAAATTTAATAGTTTATTGATTGTATAATTTCACTCGTATCGTATCTTTCTTTCTCAGCGATTCAGTATGGTGTTGACGATCAGCAAAAAAAAACTCTGTAGTTTTTCTCCGTTAGTTGGCTTCCTATAAAACATATCTTCTTTAAGGCCACTCGAGATGCCTTCTTCTGGAACGTTACGTGTTCTGCGTGATTCGCTTTTCTGTTTCCGTTGCGGTCGTTGTGCGGGGGTCGCTTCGTCATTTTCCGGACTCTGGGATATTAGGCCCCAAGCGCCAATTCATGGACTAGCACCCTTTTTTTGTGTAACTTAAAATTTCAGAACCATGGTTAAGATGCTTAAGATGCTTCCTTTTTGTTGCCCAAAACAAATGGAAGTACTATCATAATCAAGAGTGAAAAGTCTAGTAATGTATGGCCTAGATGTGAATACTGTTCTGGTGTTTAATTTCACTATCTCATTCTAAACAATAACTGAATTGAAAAGCTATTGTTCTCAAATCTTTCGGACGCCGAATACCTGAAGTAAGATCGAGTACACTGCGACTAAGCATCGAACATCGTAAACATACAAAAGATCCCTACATTTACCGGTGTTTACATGGCATTCCATGTCGCTACAAATACGATTTCTTATTTTGTAATTATTCTCAACGAATACAAACGTAAGTTAACGGCGCATTGTGATTTTCAACGTAAACAGGAGTAGGAAGTAGCGATGCGAAAATTTAAGCCTTTTTTGGTTGGCAGTTGTAAATACGATACGCGACATTACAAGTTTATGGCTAGCCAGACCTTCAATCAAAATATCCGACAAAACGTATGTTATACGCATTTTAGTTATTTCGTTTATCAGTGTTTTTCTCGTTATTTCCTAGTCCATTCAAATCATAAATTTATACAGTTCGCAACATACCTTGGCGATGCCAAAAAGCACTATAAGGAATCAAGGTACGCATAAGCAAAAGAAATGGTATCCTGAAAGAACATCTGCGTTAAATTGGCACCAACAGTGGACAATGTGGTAGCGGAAGTCCTGTGTAAGTGTGAAGCGATAGATCATAAGAGTTAGAATACTACTAATTTATAACAAACTTATTTCGCGTCGACTGCTTTTCGGTGAAAGCCTGCTCTTTTCTTGTCGTCTATCTCTTGTGTTTTTACAAACTATTCTGGATCGTCCCAGAAAGTCCAAGAGTAGTCGAGGTTTTTTCTGGGGGTTCGGGTATTCGTGGTTCCGGTGGCCGCCGATAGATGGCGACAATGATGACGCTCATAAGTTTTGTAGTAAGAATATTGTGTGTGAAAGTCGTCGAGGTAAAAAAATATCATAAACATAAATATAAATGGTAATAAAATAGTTTCTGTGGATCTTTCTAACAACCTAGAAATGATTCATTAATTTGTTGAACATAAACCATCTAATTTCCCAGCGCTAAACTATTCTCAGAGTTGTATCTGCAAATAAGACTATATAACATAAATCTGCGTGAATCTTCTTGTTTTGCTTAGTGATTTATACTAAGTGACATATAAATCCGAACACCCAGTTTAAATGGTTTTATTTAAATAAAAGTGTGAATGTATTTATCTTACTGTGAAAAATTGTTCAGCCTTATCAGTTGGACATTCCGGTTTTTATACTGCTTTTTTTAATTCACTAACGCTCTAAAAATGAATATTTCAGCCGCAGTAAAGAGTCAACGTTGACGGATTTTGGTTCTTGACACCCTTTACGATCGGTTACGATGCCTAGAGTACGGAGACCTGTACGATTTCGTCAACTTAGTGAGTTTGATAAGGGCCGTATAGTGGGACTTCGGGAAGCTGGACTTTCTTTTCGGGCAATTGCAGTTAGAGTGCAAAGAAGTGTAGACACTGTGGTTAGGTGTTGTCAGGCATGGCTTCGAGAAGGCCGTACGCAAAGAGCAAGGGGCACTGGACGCCGCCGTAGAACAACAGACCGTGAAGATCGCCGCCTAAGATTATTGGCCTTAAGGGACCGTTTCTCCACTACCAGGTCCATTGCAAATGAATGGTTTGAAGAACACGGAAGACCTATTGGCATGCGAAGTGTTTACCGACGAATGAGAAGTTTTGGCCACACTGGGTCCTCCCTTTAACTCGAGAACACCGACGTAATCGCCTTGAGTGGTGCAGACAACGGTCACTCTGGGATCAGGAATGGAACAGTATTGTCTTTAGTGACGAGTCTCGATTTTGTTTAGGCATGCACGATGGTCGTGCCAGGGTTAGAAGGCGACATGGTGAAAGGAGGAATCCACAGTTTTTTGTTGAAAGACATGTTCATCACACTGTTGGAGTTATGGTTTGGGGTGCTATAGCTTATGGTTCCAGGTCACCTTTAATCTTCATCAGAGGTAACATGAACGCGCAGCGTTATATCGACGAAGTTCTAGAACCCCATCTTTTACCCTATCTTGACACCCTGGCAGATCCAACTTTCCAACAAGATAATGCCCGACCACATGTTCCAAGAGTCACAATAGACTTCTTTCAACATAATGATGTCGCATTGTTACCATGGCCACCAAGATCTCCCGACTTATCCCCAATTGAGCACGTGTGCGATATGATGGGTAGGAGATTGCTCAATTTGCAACGTCCTCCTCAGACTCTAGAAGCACTTCGAGAGGAGTTGGTGGTTGCCTGGAATGAGATACCACAGCAGGACATTGAATACATTGAATACATGTTGCATGCTTGTAAATGAAAATATGATCATATATTAAAGGTCATTAATGACCTTAACTAGATGAACATGGATAAAACGTATAAATACCAGCTCCTAAGTTCCTAAGTAAGACTCAGGGTGCTTTATTCAAAAACACCGTCATATTTAGTAACTAAATTCATACGTATAGACTAAATATGCATTGCATTAATATTAGATATAGATACTTTTTTAATCCCACATCTCTATTTCAGAACACATATATTCACAACGCAATCAAACCATATAATTTCGTAGACAGTAGTTTAAAAACTAGGAAACTCAAAATACGTCTTTGAATTTGAACTTTGGGTATGCATTTTATAACTTTTTCAGTTGCAAGATGTGGGAATAATTATATAAATACGTTGTCGGTGCTAAAATTGAACGAGGTCGAGGAATTTTTTATAGTGCTGAAATTGGGCCAACAGATATAGACGCGAATGCGTGCGTACCCGGTGCGTTATCAACCGTTATCCTTATCGCTACACTCTCATAATTTCATATCGCTTACCACAATTATTATTATTGCGTTTGTTGCAAAATGTTCGACTAAGTACAAGGGGAATTATAACCGTAAAATGTCTCCATTTGTTTTGGGTTTCCCTAATGACGTCTCGATTGATAAAAACTACAAGGACAAAACTTAGATTGGTAACGTACTGAGCAATCCGTTCGATTTATTTTAAACATCCCTGCGTATGAGACAGGATAAGATGTCGCGTAAAAGGTTCAATCAGCGTAACAAGTGACAAGAAAAGAATCGGAAAAGCGGGAGTATCAAATTCTAACGACATCTACCGGGAGTATACATAATATTTTCTGAGACAGGAATTGATTGCATCATTGTCGGCGACCAGTATTGCAGCTTGTTAGCTACATCGACAGACAGCTGATAGGCGCTTTCAAATTGCTCTGATTTTCAGACGAAGTTGTAAAGTTGGATGTTTTATGCATGGGCTTTCAGAAATTCTCAGTAATTTCAATTCAGAATTGTACAAAAAATAGGTCTAGTAAAATGACTGGGGATTATTATCGTTTACTTTGACATAATGGAGAGGGAACGGATTTTTAGTTGGACAGATATCTTTTCTTAGAAATTGTAGATTTATACGCGAATATCACTTTGATAAGAAGCCTGGTGGGTATACGAGTACTTGGAATCAATTTCGAAATGCATGATGTATCGGTTGGGTATATTTGCCCCCCAGTGCTTTTCCCTTTGATATCGTTAATGCACATACGATAATAAATTGGATGTTTCAATATACCACTAAATGCCTCTACAACAAATTTCGTCATATTTCTGTCAATAATCCTGCATTTACGAGTGCTTCATAACCAGCGTTTAGACCGATTTATGAACTCGATTTTGACAGGACCGTAACATATTTTAAGAGAGAACATCAGGCCAGAAAAAAAGTGTTCCACGTTAAAAAAAATTATATTCTTCCTTGAGACGTCCCACAAGAATATTTGCACGAACTTCAACTCAATGAAAAAATTACCCACAAAGTCGAAGTCCTCTTTCATGACGAGCAATACTAAAAAAAACTGAGAAAAATCATCAATAGACCTACAACATCAAATGCACGGGTCACAATGTACAAAACTGGTCATTGTTGGACTACATGTGTGAAAACTTTTGAAACTTATGTTATTTCCATACTAATTGGTGGAATTATCATTGAAAATTAATTTTTGCTCATGAAAACTTGAGGAAAATTATGCTAACATATTTTCAAAATGGTGGCGCTTCCGGTTGTACCGAAAATAGATACCAACTTGGTTATTTCAAAATACAGCACCTTGCAACTGGTTTGTCATAGTAGGAGACCTATTTTACTAAATTTTATGCCTAGCGCAGACTAGATTATAAACAATTCACAAAATGAGTCTCTTCAAATAGGAAGCACTTTTTTCATAATTTAATCATATTGATCATTGAAAATGACGTTAGTTATCAATTTCACTAATTATCATCGTTTTCGAGATATATGGAAATATTGCTTTTTCTCTTGCTTATTGCTTTTATAGCAAGATAATATCAATTGGCCATGATTAGAGATTTAAAATTGAGAAAAAAAGGAAAAATACGGAAAAATTGAAATTTGTTATATGCAAGATAATAGTATTCTGGTTACTGATTTTTCCATTAATATAAATGAAACAGAAATAATTTGAATCAAAACCGCAAGCTACGGCTCTGAAGTACCACTACAGCTTTCGGTTAATTCCCGATCACACACAGCGACACGGCATTTCGGTAAATCCCCGTATTTCTGAATTGTTCAGTTGAGAATGAGATTCTTCAATATTGACACGTCTTGTTTATTTTAAAGCGCGCATTTTAATTTAGCCTTATCATAAGCGCAGTAAATGAAAATACAAAGTGAAATTTTGCTGTAATAATTGAGTGTGTTTGTTCTGAAGATTGTTAGTGTTGTTGACCCAAGTGTTTGATTTGGTTTCCGGTAAGTGAGTATTTTATTAAATTTGGAATAGCTTCAAGTGTTTTGAAGGTGGGATTTCAGTTTTCTTGCATATTTTCCTTACTTTTCTTTATTAGTAATATCAAGATTCAGTAATAATAATTATTATCTGTATACTCATTAAATTACAAGAATTTGATCAATTAAAAAATATTTAAATATTTCCATTTTTTCCAATTTTTCCCATGGTCTGGAAAAAACGGAAAAAACGTGTTTTTTGTCGTTTTTTTTCCGATATGTTAAATCTCTAGCCATGATGCGGCAAATAGCGTGTTATCCTTAGTAATTCCTGCCATGGCCAACTGAGATTATATTAAGTTAAAAGCCTTATGGAGCATTTAAAAACTATTGATTTGCGAAGCAGACAAAATTAACTTTAGTTTCGATGCTTAATATGATGGAAATAGAAACTGGGCGCTTTACGAGTGAGTACGAATCATCGAAGTACGAGGACAAACGAATGATGAGCGGGTCCTATATAGCGTAGCCCTTTTTGTGATTCGCGTCTTAGTTTTTCGTCTAAGAATTTTCAAAGAAAAAACGAGAAAAATCGTAATTTTTCGTTAAAACGCCGATATCTCCTCTATGATAAAGAAAAAATTTTGCGCAGTACATTTTGTGCACCTCGAAGAGTACTATAAATTAGCTAGAGAGAGTTTTTTCCGTTTAGGACACCCGTTTCGAACAAAAAAATCAAATGTTGGAAAATTTGCTTTTTTGGGTCTTAAACGCGCTTTTCGATATTCAGGATCTATCTACTCCACAGATAACGGAGATGCAGACGTAGCGATTTTGCACATGAAAGCCCACATTTTGGTCTCCAGTTTAAAAGTATTTTCATCTCTTTACTCATTTCCGTTGAAAAGTTTCAATTTTTTTTAAATTTCTTGACAAAATGCTACTTTTCGATACATGACAAAATTAACATTTTTTTCGCCTTTGTCCGGGTCTATTGCTATTAAATATGAAAGAATATAAGAAAAAGGTGATTTTCATTTGAAAAAATTGACTTTTAAGGGCCGTATCTTTAGTCGTTACTACAATTGTAGGACGCCTTAATGGCCTCCTTGAAGTTTTTCCTGTCCTTCAGAAAGGCAGGGTAGATTCCCAGTGTTCCATGTCAGCGCTCTATTTTGAGTTTACGTTACACTTATCTATTTGGATCAAATTGTTTTGATTTTGAGCATCTTTTTTATCAGCTTGAAATCTGGAGCCTTAAAGAAGGAGAGAAAATACTATGAAAATCAAGGAGACCATAGAGGCGTGCTACAATTGTATCTAATTTTCAATAACTTTTTTTGACCACGCTGTATGAAATTTTGGATAAAAATCTACTAAAGTAGATCCTGTACTTTAAGAAACCCATTATAAATTACAAATCGTATAGGAAAGGTAAAATTACGAGAAAAAATTGTTATCCATTAGCCTACATTTGTTATTCTTTGAGCAAAATTTGACTTGTCTTAATAACTGTTAGACCTAGATGCATAAGCAGCTTTCATCAGTAACACATACCAAATCCTTAAGATATTAAGCACCGAAAAACTCTAAACAAGCCATTCCGACCCTGCCTTTCTTACCTCCTCCTAAGGGAAGTACTATGGCTATGTGAGTCTGTATCCAAATCATGCGCCGCGCGATGTGCAGTTTAACCTAGTTAATAAACAAACAGCATCGCAGTAGGAAACCGAAATTGACACATTCATACAGCAATAACGTACTTATCGATTCGATGTTAGTTTACGTCCTCAAGATCCTTATGGATACTCCGCGAGTGCATTTCAGTATCCGGAACATCGCCGTCATATTTTCATCAGAGCTGCGTTGGTTTCTTATATTGTGAAAAAGCCATATGAGTGGACACAGTAGAAGCACTACAGCCCCAAATGGAGTAAATAATCTCGTGCCTTTGAATCGAACAGCGATAACATCAAAGAGTAATTATAAGCAAAATATGTGTTTACCGCAAATTAACTTTGTTATTTCAAACTACGCTGTTTCTGAAAAGGAAAATCCCAACTTTCAAGTCATGTTTACTATTCGAATTGAGCATGAAAGTCCACCCCTGTATCCCTGATTTCGATCGGCACACGATGCAACCTTGTTACAGTCGATACACGTCCAAACGAATTCAGCTGATTAATTGATATTTTTATGTGGCATCTTCGCAACCAACGACAGATTTCGATTATGCCATTTAATTATCGATAGCGATTCAGTAATTATCCATGGCAGAGTGTGACACTGCACAGTTCGGCCGTTCTACGTTCACGATATTCATAACGATGCATACAGCGTGAATATGTAAGCTGTTCAGTTAGTTCATAATTGAGTTGACGATTAATACGCTTTATGTGTACGATTAAATTTGAACGAATACGTCTATTCGCTATTGCATGTCAGCGAGGTTTGTTCTCCGTTGTCAGTCTCAAAGAAAAGACCAATATCGTACTGATGATTGCTGAGAAGCAAGACATGAATTCGATATCGATCTCCGATCTTGGATGATGTTTCGTATGTAGATGAAGTGTGACCCATACAGCTATGAGTTGATGTGCGATTTCTTTTTGCAAAAACTTCACTGTTCTTCAGCTAAGTTTGTAAAACCTGCACTCCTCTTCACTCTCGGAATATCCGGGTGGAGGGTGGTATCGAGGGTAAAATTTGTTATACGAACATCTGCGGGATTAACAGCAACATTGATACTGTTCATCACTACCTGCAATCCAATCGTCCCGCCATGCTTTTCTTGGCGGAGACAAAAATCTCAGAGTCTGTACCGATTAACCATCTTAACTTCCCAAACTACGAGGTGCACTCGAATCTGAGAAAGAACGGGGGAGTTGTGGCTGTTGTCAGCAACAGTCTTTCCTGCTCCAGAGATGTTTCTTTTGGAATCATACCGGAAGGACATTCTGTGGCGTCTCGTCACACGCTCTTCTGACCCCGCATCCTGTCTCTTACAGCACTGCTGTCCTGTCCCCCCTGGGTAACTCAGCCCACGGTGTTGTGGAGGTTAGGTTTCGGTCAGATCCCGCTGTGGCAGCAGAAACTCGCTACACCAACGGGCTTTGTTCCTCAGAGCTCTGTTCCATGATGCCGCCGCGCGATGTGCCTGCCAAGCAGACCCGCCTGACTTTGGCGTCCCATCCTAACCGTGTCGAACTTCGTACACCCAGAACTTGCCGATACGACCGCTCCTTTGTCCCGAGGGTGTCGAGATTGTGGAACAAGATTGTTCTTGTAGATACAAGAGGAAGCTTTTCCCAGTTCTACTAATCTTAGGCAATTCAAAAATCGTATTAACAACTTTTGATCATCGTAGCAGCCGCGGTGTTCGGGCATTTAGGCTTCTGCCTGCACAGCTTCGATATAAAAAAAATGTATACGCCTAACTGTATGATTTCAAACGCACTGTCATTTAATAACAAATTACTCTTAGTCGGAACCGTTCCGAAACCGGTTATGAATAGAAATTGAAGCAGGAAACGCTGGCAATGTGTGCGGCGCTCTCAAGAATTAAAATCGAGCAGCCAGGAATCCATGCGATCTCGCTGCTGCCCTAATAGAGTTCTCTCACATCTCATAAATATCGTAGCAACGCTTACAGGCAAACATGCTGCTTTCGTCAGTCTGACCAAAGATCGCCAACCATGGACAGCCGTTTCGTGCTTTTCGGCAACGAAAACATAGCAACTATCCGGATCGGAACTCTAAACATTGGTAGTCCGATCAGCCACTGTGGCCGCTAGAGTCTGACGATTCTGGAGGTATGGGAGGCGTTCGAGCGGTCATAGTGGTACTACGAATTCTGAGTAGGTAGTCGTCATAGTCTGTAGTGGCATGCGATCTTAAGCTCTTTTCACCTGAGATTGCCGAATCACGTCGAAAACGAAACATCAGTAAAATGTACAGACACGAAGTCCCGCGGTTCCCGATGGCAGAATTTGCCGTTGCTAGGCAGTTAGGCTTTCTTCGTGTCGATCTATGCGCATTAATCTCCGTTAGATATGCATTAACGGGCGGCAAACGGGAGCAGAAAGCGCGGAGAG